TGATGAATCTGATCTACCTGTAAGCCCTGAATATGTTAAAAGGAACTACAAGCCATACAGCTACATTTAATCTGAGGCACTCAAAAACATAAAATAGAGACAACAGAATTAAAGACTGCTGTATAATGAGCAAAATGCACACAGATAGATCTAAAAGGAATGATAACAGTAAACTGAATGTAACCTTTCAAAAGTGATCTCTCTTTTAAACTTTAAAAGGATCACAATTTGATTTTGATCCGGCACTGTATATTTGCTATTGCTATGATGTGGCATCAGTTCAAAAGCTGGTTTCTTTTAATGTTTAGAACTATGCTGTCAAATATAATGACAGTGGGCCTCATTCACCAACCGCTTTTAAGAAGAAATGTCTTCTTAAAACCCATTTTCACCAAGATTCAGACATTCACCTCTGTTTTTTTATCTGGGGTTTGTTCTTAAGTAAGAATAGAATCTAGGTACACTCATTAGCACATTTGAGTGCTGACGTGACTGTGTGAAATAACTGGTTTCAATTTTACAGTTGAGTAACCTTCACAGGTAAAGTCCAGAGAATCCACCTCCTCACTTTTTTTAGCTTCATCAGTTGTGCACTCTTCTTCTTTTACAGCATCCCATGCATCTTTTCTATGTTATATCCACTACCGATGCTACTAAATATGACAGCTTGTTTGCTGTTCTCATAACTACTCAGTCTTTTTCCTGGCTTTGCCCCTGACTATCAACATTTTTTCACAGTTTCTTTGTGAGGCTTTTGTTTTGGACATGGCCCTACAGTCTCATGCTCTTCTTTGGGGACTGATGTGACATTTACCTATGCCAAATAGGAACAACTGGCACGTTCTTTCTACTCACAAAGATAGTGGAATTCATCATTGTAAGAAGAACACAGGTATGAACAATTCTATGTTCATGAATCAAATGTAGACTTTTCTTAAGAACAAATTTAAGAAAAAAACTTGGGAAGATGTTGGTGAATGAGGCACAGTATTATTAAAAGCACTAAAATAATTAATTCCAGACTAATTCTGGTATCCAACAAAGTTTAAATAGCATAACATGTTAAAAGCCCTAATAAAAACAAAACCTGAGCAATAAAACTATTGTTTTGCTGAAGGATACAGGAGCCTGTTAGTGCACTGTGCAGTATGTGTGAACCAACGTTAGTTTACTCTGAGCAATGTTCCACTTTTTACACACGTTTCATTTAGAGAGAAGGTCTGTCAGAATGTGCATGAAGTGTAAGTGGAGCAACATTTCTCTTTCTTCTTTTTTTCTGTTTAATTGATATAAAGGTTGCATGAATATAATCTTTATTTTTGCTCAAGTTAAAATCATCTCTGCTAAACCAAGTGCTACACTGAAGGCGGTGGACTCAGAACAGCAGGCTGGTTGGGTCATGCAAGCAAAATATGCACTCACACAAACTCAAATGTACTGTGCAATTACCCTGTGGTTGTTTGTGTAGATGTTAGCCCTAGATCCATATAGAGGGTCTGATGGTTTGAGGCCACTGTCATTGTTAACACGGCGAAGGGACTCAGCTAGCTCCCCTGGATCAACTGCACCTCCACTGTTCTACCAGTCGAGAGCATGCACACCGGTAATGAACAAACACTAAAGGTCAAAAACAAACAGCATACAAAAACAAGGCCACCCATTCATTCAGTCAATGTATATGTTAAATCTGTACATGAAAATGCTGTCAGTGACACTTTGTCTACCTGGGTTTTCATTTCAGATACCTTTATAGACTGTATGACAAATAATATAAATAAATGCTTGCTGAAAATACACATTTCAAAATTAAGAGATTGTCAAGTAAAAATGCTCAAATGGCCTTTTATAATGTTGCAGGTTCAGGTACAGTGCTGTGCACCATTCTACTGCTTTTTAATACAGACCAAAACCTGCTCTGAATAAACATTTTTGTGCCACTTTTCTATCAAAGGTTTTTGTTGTTTTGTTTTTGTTTTTCTTTGACATATTATTTTTATGTCTCATCTTGTACACTTCAGAGATTTTATGAATGTGTATGAATGTTAACACTTTGTAATAATTCTTTAGTACATATATTACTTGTGTGGTGTAGAAGAGAATTATTTATGTAGAGATACTGCTTGCAAACCAATGATGGTAAGATGATGTCATGGGGTAGAACTGGATAAGTCTGACTTCTTCCTACTTTGTTCAAGTATGTACTAGGTATAAGCAAATTGATATTGGATTAGCATATGTTGGATATGTGTAAAATTATGTGTGTTGACATATCAACTGTCTTTACATGCTTGAAAGAATAAATCAAATCAAATCAAAATCAATTTTCAGGGTAATAAAACCAAATCCTTTAAAACCACTACTTTCTACTTTTGACCAGTTTTCAACAACATATAATGTAGCAACATCAGTAGTTCAGTTGAGTTCAGTAATTTAATTTTTAACTTGCTACTTCCTTTTAAGTAAACCTTTGTGTATGTGAGCTGACTGAATGCTGAGTTGAACCTAATCATGCACTGACAACAGGCCCCTTTTGGTTGGATGACTCTCTGTCAGAGAAATAACACAACTGTCAACTAACGCATCACTAATCCACATAAATGTACAGCAGCCATGCTGTGTCATGCACTAATAGAGTAACACCATGATTTCCTTCTTCAGCTCCTTCTGCTTTCTCAGCCGAGTAGCAGACTGCGATAGCAGCATGTCACCACAAGGTGTCAGCCTCAAGCCAGAGTTGAAAGAACAACAAACCTGTTTACACAAGACACTGATGTCTGTGCACATGCCAGTGCAAGTACAGATCATATGTAAAGATGTACTTTTGCATTTTGCCTGATGGCACTAGATGATGCAGTGCTGAGTGTGCTGTTCACTGCAGGATATGTCTGTACCTTGCTCTTGTTCTTGTGTTGGTGTTTGAATCGCAGCAACTCTTTATGTTGCCTTGACACAAAGTTAACAGCAGCATACTCCAACAGTGCAGAGAAGACGAAGAGCAGACACACTGCCATCCAGATGTCTATGGCCTTGACATATGAAACCTGTAAGCACACACAGACACTTCATTAACTCGACTGTGACTGTGTGGACCTACACCTGCAAAAGACCTTTTGTGAACTACAGATGACTTCTGGTGATCTTTAAGATTTATATTGAAGAAAGGATGACCACACACTAAGATCCAGAGAGTTTATTAACTGTGGTTCAACCACCCATCAAATTTACATATCAAAATTTTTAGTTTATACTGTTTGTACTGCTGACGAAATAGAAAAACAGATCTGTCTGTTATTGTTAAAAAATGAAGGAAAGAAATCAACCAAAAAATAAAGTGATATTCACAATCCAAAATAAAAAATGTTCAGAAAAGATAAGCGACCCCTCATGGTCTTTAAGAAAGGGGAAGTCAGTTGTGTGAGTTATTTAAGTCAGATTTACTTTCACCTCCTCAAACTACACTGCACAGTCCTCTTAGTCCTAATACAGACAGAAACTATGTGGAACTACAGATAATCTGCTGCTTAGACTGGGACACTGGATCTAGATTCCTTACCACCAAATTTGATGCCAAATGGTTTTGGTAGGTTAATATTGGCTAAAGTGTTCTTTCGTTCAGCTTGCCATCTAAAATACAGGTTATTTAGAAATCGGAACATTTTTTGGTCTTACTCTATAAGATTGAGTCTTTATGGTTCCGTGTCTTGGTGTAAAATATACATGGATATAGACAGAAATGTTTATGTAGTTTCCTAACACCTTGTCTTGTTATAACCAGGCTGCCAATCCTGCCTGCCGGGTTGCCATTGCTCCCAATAATGCCTTGTGGCTCGGCCAAAACTCTGCTTTCCGCCTCCTGCTGGTGTGAATCTTGAACCTCTGTTCTGCAGCTCTTCTCCTGGGTGGGAAACCTTGAATTTTTCAGATACAGTATGCTGTTGAATGGGAGCTGCAGCGGGTTATTCTTCCTGTACAGGGATGTGCTGCTCAGGCTCCGTGACAAGCCTAGCCATCTGCGGAGACAGCTGCTGATCCTCTTTCCAACATGTCAGCTGTTGTGATAAAGTAATAAAGGCCAGGGGATACAGGGAAGACTGTCATTCTGATATATTCAGGCTTTACATTTCCTTGTCTACATGGTTTAGCCAAGTCTCTAGCTCCTTTATTCCTGACTGATTAATGAGAGATAGGATATCAGTGCCATTCAAAGACAAGTAGAACTTGTCTGGGCTCTGCGCTTCTTCAGGACCAGGCATGAAGCTGATCCTTGCCCAGGTAACAAGTTTGGTTAGGGTCTGCTGGATTCCAATATTACTTGTGATGCTGCCAGTGCCATGTTCTTGACAAGGATGAAAAGAATGTGTAAACTGTGATGATGTCATTCACAAAGCTAATGGTGACATCACAGTTGTTGTACAATCATTACAGACATTATTTTAGGGTTGCAGCTGCTCCCATACGCACACACCCGTGGCTGTGCCACACAAGTCTGTGCTGTCAGAATGATGTCCGCTCATTTCTTCATGGAAAATGACTTATTCAGACATGTGTAACATACTGAAGTGCAAAGCTCTGTTCAGCACTGGAAACATGAGAAACCGCCTAACTCCTAACCCCACCCCCCTACACACACACACACAGCTTCAGTCATGTTGTTGAAGTGTATGTGTACAGCATGTATGAGACAGAGGGGTGTGCTAATAAGGGTTATGTAACAAAGTGCTCTATGTCTGATTATTTCTCATGCATACAAGACACCAGAACAAGATTCTGGTCCCCACTCACGCTCTAGCAGATGCATGATTAGCGGAATCAACACATACTTGTGTTTGCCCATGCAAAACATCCACCAATATAAATGGAGAAAAAAAGAGAAATTTCAGGTCACACACAGAGTCATACTACACTTGTGAGGACCGTCGGTGACATAATCCATTGCCTAATCCCTAACCTAATTCTAATCTATTCTAATTCTAATTCTTGACCCTAAGTGCAAGGCTGAGCATTCAAAAAGTCCATTGAAGTTGTGAAGACAGATTTAAACATTCACACAACTTTAAAATGCCCTCAAAGCAATGCCATGAAAGGACAGTGGGGCACCTGATTGATCCATGAGCACAGACCTTAGGCAGTGAAGCCCTGGATCCCGAGCTCTGTGTTGTCATTGTGAGGACAGTGGTGATGCCCAGTGCTACTCTGGCTGGAGCAGCATCCATGCTGATCCAGAAGGAGACCCAGGACAGAATGACAATGAGCAGAGATGGGATATACATCTGGATCAGGTAGTAGCCCATCTGACGCTCCAGGTGGAATCGCACTTCAATACAAGTAAATTTACCTGTAACAAAGCAGAGACAGTAAATAATATTGACTCCTTTGTAATTACATGGTTTCTGTCTTACAATTAACAGTGACAAGGACAGAACACAGTTATTATCTTTTCTTGTATTCCTGTATTTACCTTGGCTTCAACTATGCTCTGCCCAGGCTTCACCCCACTGCCTGACTTTTTCTCAGTTAATTGACAAGATGGTATTCACATTATCAAAGGTCAAAGGTCAAAGTGTTTATTTGTCATATGCAGTTAGGAAACGTGTTTCCCTGTACAATGAAATTCTTACTTTGTCGTCCACGTTATAGAGACAGTTTAATGAAAAAAGCTGGGTTTCAGAACATTTTTATACTCAGCATAGTTGTGGATAGATGTAATAACAGGACCATATAGAGGCTGGGATTCATTTCAAAGATCAAAGTGTTTATTTGTCATATGCTCAGTTAGGAAACGTGTTTCCCTGTACAATGAAATTCTTACTTTGTCGTCCACATGACTGCCACAAAATACAAATTAAATATAAAGTAGATAAATAAGTAACACAAAATCTAAGGCACTTTAAGCAGCAAATGCAGAGATATAATAAAAATATATAAGAATATAATAAGAGAATGTATGCTAATTGGGAGCAGCATGTGCAGCAGTCAACAGTCAAAGTGCATTATATTAGTCGTTACAGATTTTCTCAGTCGCTTTGGTACATTTTCAAAACATCCTTGATATTTGCAAAACAATAAGAGCATTTCTTTAAAAAATTGTAGAAACAACACCACACAATGGATTAGCTGCAAAAGTGTGTCACTTGCTCAGGATCTTTAGTTTATCTCTCAAAAGTAAATACTTATGGCAGTGAACATGTCAGCGCATCAAAAAGTCCTTGTATGGTTGTTTACGAACATGACAGTCAGAATGTTCATGTTGTTATGAACATTCTGACAACAGTGTATTGTAAAATGTGTTTGTAATGAAACCTGTGAAAATACAGAAGGCTGCACATTTTCTATGTGACATGTATCAATTTCAACAGTACAAAGTTTCACACTCACTGGCCACTTTATTAGGTACACCTATACAATTGTTTGCAAGCCAAGGTGTTCCTAATATTCTGATCCTCCTTTTAGATATTAATAAATCAGTCAGATAATTATTAGACATTAATGTGTTGAATCAAATGTATTAGTAATGCAATTTAGTAAGAATCAAAGTCTGCTCTAGTCTGCTCTGTTTCAAGGTTAACAGATAGAATGTTGATTCTGAAAAGTGAGCTACAGTTACCTTGACACCAATTGTTTTCTTGTATTAATCCTGTGTTAGAATATTATGTCTGAATGAATGTTTTAGTTACGCACCATGTGACAACACACACACACACATTGAAATTCTTCATTTTGTTATGGCCAGTGGCTCCATGCAGCTCGAGCTCTAGATAAGAAATGGAGTCTGCGGACTGACTTCATCTGTGTGAGGGGTTAGCCCAAAACTTATAAATGTATTAGGCTCTGTGTTTCCGGGATATCTTTTTTTCCAGCAGCCTGCCTGTGGATGTCTGGAGGAAGGAGCCACCCGGCTTGTGTTTTGTAATTTTGCTTGTGGTTTAAATAAATCAGCACTAAAATGAAGAAAGACAGACTTCTTCCTTATTCAGATATGTCCAATAAAAGAACTGGGGTATAACACTCCCATGAACAATAATGTATAATAAACATATCATAGAAATGTAAACAGAGGAAACACCCAGAGACAGAACAGTTGCCCTCCCAATATTCAGCTGCCCTCAACCAGCCTTGGCCTTTGTAAGGCCATGATTGACAATATGGTCGACAAGTGTGGACCATATTTCACTGGAAACCTCTCCCCCTTCCTCTGTTTTGCGTCCCCACTCTTCCTCTAGTCCTATTCCTGATGTTTGATGCTGTTTAAATGATGCACAAGTGACTGGATGATGTGGAGGCTGAACAAGTATTTTAGAACATTTCATTTCTGATCTTAGAAATGTACAAAAGAGGCAAAAAAAAGCTGTAACAATCTAGTGGGGATGTCATAATATCAGTCTGGATTTCAGGATGTTTGTTTCTCCCTGTTGAAGCTGAGTTTTGTCTTGACTTATTCCCAGCAGCACAAAACAAGACTGTTGAAATGTGGCAACTGTTTCACCCTGTGTGCATGTTACCTGTGTTGTGATGCTTATGGCAGTGTGTGTGTGTGTGTGTGTGTGTGTAGGTGTGTTACCTGTGTTGTAGTGCTTAGTGCAGTATCTGAGATCTGAGTCATCTTTGAGAATGAACTGTGGAAGCGTGAGGCCTTCGGCCACTTGCACCGGTCCATTCGCCTGCCACTCAAAGATCAGGTCGTTCATGGTGTAACCAACTTAAAAAAAGCAGGAAAAGTTAACAATCAACAACTAACAAAACATTGTGCCACATGTAGTGAGTAATATGAAACTGAATTGAAGATGAAATTGGACTGAGGTGTTTTTGTTCTGTCAAATGTGCAACATATGACTGGAATCACCATCTAATGTGCAACATATGACTGGAATCACCACCTTCTCCCTCTCTCTCTCTGTATGTGTATGTCCTGTGCTCTATGCTGCATGACATCTGAGAACAGCAACACAGCAACAGAGATAAAAAAAAAACACAGTTTGATCTATGTATGGTAACGCCTCTGGTCAGTGGGCTAATCAGAATAAAGCCAGCAGTGAAAAGAAGTTATCTGTTCAACTCTTCTGTTCCCTGTGGCCAGGCCATGTTTATGACTGGACCATTAGTCATTATAACCCTACCAACATTATTAAATGTGACTTTGTGTGCCCTTAAAAAGATTCAGCTACATACCTGCTTAAATAGTGTTTGCATAAAATGGAAGTAAAGGGGAAGGTGGCTGATAATATACTGTATATGTACAATACTTTTGAAAGCTGTATGAATGAAAAATGAGTGATACAAAGACAAATAAGCACAAGTATGACAAGGAAAATCATACATTGTGAATGACATGTTAATCTTTTTTCACAAAGATTCAACTCACAGTAGATGGCAAAGTACTGGGGGAGAATAATAATAACATGTAATGGCAAATATATTCTACTATCCATCCATCCATCCATTTTCTATATTGTTTAGTCCCAAACAGGGTCACGGATATATTCTACTATCTATATATTATGTTAGGACACAACACCTGTCTGATTAGTTACTTTACAATACTGTTGTTAAGGCATTACTTTCAGTGTGGGGACAAAACCTTCCTCATCCAGATGATTGTCACCACCATGTGAATCATTTGAAGTTTAGGACAACAGCTTGGTAAGGTTAGGTTAAATGTTAGGTGTTAGGGTTTGTTGGTTGATCTTTTCATTTGATGTGTTAATGCAGCATTCACAGCTGCATCATCATAACAGGCTGGGCCTCTATTTCAGGTTTTTCTGAGTTTGTATCTATAGGCCCACATGTGGCCTTAGGGTGTGGGATACCACATACATGCTGCAAGGGTTGTTTGAACATGACTCTCTGATATGCTGAGCATAGGTATTGTTAGACCCCTTTTACTGGGCCAAGTGCCCCAGTATTGACCTGCTGTGTCCCAGTAAAATCATACATTCAGGTTTTAACAAGCTCTTGCATTTGGCAGTGGTTTCGATCTGACTGATTTCGATCAATGATAACTTGAAAAGAATTCATTTGTTGTTCTAATCCAGAATGTCAAAGCAAGCTCAGGCGCAGTGGTTAGGGTTTGTGCACCACAGTGCACACGTATGCACATTGTGCACGTTGTAGCTGGTGCACTGCAGCACACAAGCAGGGTGAAAGGAATGGACTGAGGTATGTGACAGGGACTAAATTATTTTTTTGGAATAATACAGATAATCTTATTTTGACTCAAACATTACTGACTTCTGTAGATGGACATAAGAAAATTCTTTGGAGGCCGAGACAAGGAAGAAGTTCAGAGAGATGAGGGTGAAAGAAGGAAGACCTGGTTGTAGTTTGCAAACAAACTAACGTTAGTTTAGTTAGCTAGTATGTAACCAACCAGATGTTGAATGTGAAGTAAATTATAACTGCGAACATCAATGCATGTGATCAGCTGGACTACTAAACACAGTTTATTGGTGAAATAAGATAAATGCCAGGTATGTTGTATAATACATCACACGTAGTGGTTCATGTTAACGTTGGACTGTTCATTCCACATTTAATGACCAGCCTATAACATCATATGTGATGCTGTTGTCACACAGTCCAGATGATATTTGTTTAATGCACATTTAACAAACAGGTGAACCTGAGGCAGGAAGGGAAAGTGTGGAGGAAGCTGTGTGTGTCTGTGGAGACAGATGTGTGACCACCAGCCATCCACTGCACAACACAACTTGTATAGCTGCACCATCAATATGTTATGTGGACTCATGAGTGACAAAAAAATGATTAGATTGTGTTTTTCTAAATTAATGATTTGTTGATAGATTAACTTGTTGACAAATCAAACTGGGGCTGCTTCACAATCAAATTATATTATTGTGAAATGCAGAAGAATGGAAAGAAATGTCCAACACAGGGCCAAAGTTTTATGCCATAAAAACATGTTGAGAATGTTCTTAATGTACATAAAGATTAATATCTCTACATTTATACCAGTAGTTGTGTCAATTTCAGTAGCAGCAGCATGGCAGTGGAACGGTGGGCTAAGCAAGGGAAGTTCATAGCACATTTCATTCATGCAGCAGACATTCAGGAAAAACATCTGTGAGATTTGAGTAATGGGAGTCTGTGCCCCAGTAGAACTTTATGTCTAGCAATGCACCTGCTATAGATCAAGTCACAAAGTCTAGGTTCTGTTTGTTGCCATCTGAATTTAGATTTGCAATGAAAGGTATGACGTACAGGACAAATTTAGGATTTGTACATCACAGACCCAAATGACTCTTTGTGAAGATTGTACCTGGTTATGCTCCAGTAATTCAGGGCAATGTTCAGGCAGTTTATTAAGTAAACTGCCTGAACTGGGAAACTCTCATGTCTGAATTCCTCCTTCACCCTCCAATCACAAGTAGTCAAAATTCATCCTTTCAGGGTTAAGTAGTGATTTTAGTTAGGTATTAGGGCTCAGTGTATCTCAGTGTAAGTCAGTGTAACCCCCACCCAGTGGGAATAAAAGCAAATATGAGTGTGTTTAAACTGTACATACAGCTTTCAAGCTGCATGATACAGGTCTGAACATCCATAGGGAAGTTTTTCAGATCCATAGGACATGACAGAGTTAATGTTAGTCTGAAAGCAAAAAGACAGGAGAGAACAAGTGAGAATCAACTCAAAGACAGTGACAGGTTTTAAAGCCATCCATAAATACTGTACACATCTATAGTATCAAAATGTTCTTGGTGTATATCATAGTAATGCTGTACTAAGTGGGATAGCTTTGAAGCTCAAAAATAGTAGCCCAACGTCTGCACAACCTTTAAAATGCAACACAGATTTTTTTTTTCTGTTGGTACCCACCATTGGCTGTAGCAAATACAACCGGAAGGCTAGCTGCTTCGTTTATTTTTAAACCCTATGCATGGTAAAGGCATTCAGGAAAGTCATTGAAGACAAATACAACAATACAAAACTACAAAATGTTGTCCGAGCTCTGGCTATTGTTTTTTAATTTCGGACACAAAAAAACTTGAATCCAAATGCAATTCACAAATACAGCATGTCTAGTCTAGATAATTATTTTACTGGGTATTATTAAAGTTCCAGCCTCATCACCCACCAGCTAAACAAGGCCTGGCCTAGCACTTACCTTATAGAGTACAAAACATTTCCATTCTTAAATATCCTGAGCAGTTTGTTGTCTGTAGTGACTTCATGAAAGTGGGCTCCCTTCTCATTGGCAAAGAACAGGTCTGGTTTCCATATGGAGTCTAACATAGAGGGGTCCAGGTCCAGAGAGTCATCTGGGTATTCAGAATAGGCAAGCCTGGGATCATTCCATTGCTGACGGAGAAAGATATTCACACGGTAGTCCTACAGACACAGAGAACAACACAACTTATAGGCACACTTTCATGGAACCTGAAAAAATGGGTTGATGTCCTCTAAAGAAATGTGTAATGAGTCAAGCTTGGCTCAGGCCAGGTGTCATGAAAGAATTCTGTATGTTGATGACAACTGTCAAAAACTAATAATAATGTGCAATTCTATACATGAGGATAAAATATGAGAATAACATTTTACTCCAGTGTTAGATGAATGTTAAATTATCCATCCAAATACATACAGTAGGTGAAATTGAGAAATCTAGCTTTGCATATTTCCTCTGAGAAATAGATATCTGATGACTCTGCCCAGGAAACCAGGGGGTTAGTATAATATTCTGTATACTTGTCATTTCATGTAATTTCTGCAATCAGACTTCAATCATCTACTGTAAGCTTCTCGATGCATCATATTGTCATCCTGATTGCAAGGGTGTGCACGATAGAGGCATGCAAATGATGTCAAGCCATGTGCATCAGCTGCTTTGGGACATACATTGATGTTGGTCTGCAAATATGTCAGCAGTGTTAGAACCACACTGTGCATGAACACACAGGGTCGAACAGGATTTTCTATTTTCATGCATGAACACACTCCTCATTCGTGGGCAGAGGCAGCCCAGTCACTGTGGTCACTGTCTCTGTAGTGTTGTGGTAGCTTCTCACAAGGTCATGCTCCCACACCAAATCCTAGTCAAGTTTTGAGCATTACAGCATTTGATCACAGCAGCATATTTGACAACAGGGGTGTAACTTGCAATATAACTGTCCTACCAGCTGCTATAACTTTTTAAAAGAAGATTATCTATGTTGGAATTAAAATAATAATAAGAAAAGCCTGCTTAGGTGGGGGAGGGGCATGGCTTTTTGAATAACTCAGAAAGAAATGCATTGTTACTGCTGTTGTTTTTTGAATGATTGAAATGGTCCGTTAGAATGAAAGCATCGGGTGTGTGTGTGTGTGTGTGTGAGTGAGCAGATAGTGTGCTGATGCCACTATCACTTCAGTGCACTGCAAATTCAGCTCCCTAGAAAATTCCCAAAAAGCACTGTAAACAACATTGAGCCTCCCTGCTTACTGTGGTCAGTGACTGAAAGTGACATCACTACTCTTCCACCTCACTGAGATTCCAACTGGGCCACAGTTACTGCACAGTAAACTCAGATGCAACAAATGAAATTAAACAAGTGAATGGTTGATGTAGGTGTGACAGTAATACTAACTGTTGCCGGTGCTTTTGGTCTACATGAGTCAAACATGACATTTTTATTTTTTGAGCTGTGCCTTCTCTGCACTTCTGATGTGATACAAGTTGCTTTGAGAAACAGTGTAATAAGCTGAATTCACAAATGTGTGGTTATCTGTTTGTATTTTTTATTTATCATTTCCTTTTACATCACATTTTGTCTTGTCATGTCGCTATCATTGCTGCCTAGTAATCATGTTGCAGATTCAGTCTAGATCTTCACTGATGCAAAAACCTAATCAAATCTGAAAATAAAAATTATCTTGAACAGCCACACATGCAGTACAGATGTCCTCTCTACTGGCAGGTAGAGGGACCTGCATTCCATTTTGTGGATATATTTTCCCTCCTGCTGCTGCACTGTGACCAGAGGATGTGGAAAAAATACAGGGCCTGAGATTACTGCATGTCCAGGAATGTTCCTGTACAGGGACTCACTGTTTTACTTGACTGGGTCTAACCTACAAGCAGCCGCCATTGAAGCCCCCAGAGCAGTTAATGGTCAGCTCATCAAGGCTGGATTCCCTCGGAGCAGAGTACCTGTTTGTTTTGACTGCTTGTGTTGCTGGTTAACAAGGAGATTAATGATCCACGACGTTATTGTCGTTGCTACGCTACCTGTTGGAATTAATTTCTCTACTTTGGGAAATTAGGGGAAGACGCAGTGACCATGGAGCTACCTGAAAGGGAGTGATGATTCCACTACTTGGTTATGATGGCTGCAAAGCTAAGATAGAGGTACCCAAGATTAAACATTAAATGGCTGGAAATTAGCAAAATGAGCATGGCATGGCCACTTTTATTATGCTATGAAGAACATATATTTACAGTAGGTTTGTGCACCGCTCACCTTGTTGTTGGTCCCAATTGTAAAAAGTATTAATATTCATATTCAAATCTAGCCACAGGGGTTGCAAGCCAGTGACTTTTGTGCTGGTTCCAAGCCCGGATAAATAGAGAGGGTTGCGTCAGGAAGGGCATCCGGCATAAAAACATGCCAAATTTAAACATGCAAATCATCAGTGTGAATTCCATACCGGATCGGTTGAGGCCCGGGTTAACAACGACCGCCACCAGTGCTGTTGACCTACAGGGTGCTGGCGGAAATCGGATTACTGTTGGTCGAAGAAGGAGAGGAGGTAGAAGGAGTCGTAGACAGAGAGAGAAGAGGAAAGGCAGGAGTATAGGTCTGAGAATAGGGACTCTTAACGTTGGCACAATGACAGGGAAAGGTAGAGAGCTGGCGGACATGATAGAGAGAAGGAAGGTAGATATACTGTGTGTGCAGGAGACCAGGTGGAAGGGTAGTAAAGCGCGAAGCATTGGAGGGAGATACACACTGTTTTATTATGGTGTGGACAGGAAGAGAATGATCCTGAAGGAGGAGCTCGTGATGAATGTTTTAGAGGTGAAAAGAGTGTCAGACAGGGTGATCAGTTTGAAGTTGGAAATTGAAGCTATAATGTTGAATGTAGTCAGTGGTTATGCTCCACAAGTAGGGTGTGAGTTAGAAGAGAAGGAGAGATTCTGGAGTGAG